CCCAAAAATTTAAAAGAAATTGCGAAACATGGTCAAAATCATAAAATACTTGATGGATTAGTCTAATTTTGGTCAAATTTTCAGTTTTTGGCTAAAAACTGATGCAAAAGTAATTATTTTAAAACTCCTTTGGCATGTTCTGGATAGATGAACAATTCTACACATGCCTGAGTGTTTTTCAAGGTTCCAAACGTCACTTGAACGCCAGCTGATAGCTCGAAACTGAAAGAAGTAAAAAATACCTGTTTTCAAAAATCATTGATTTTTCATCCTCGTTGACGTTTTTAAGTATAATTAAGGAAATATTTGGGATCAGCGTCGAATTCTGAGTCTATTGATGTGTCTCTCATTCATTTTTGAAGGAAATTCTATTTTCAGTGTTCCTGCGGTCCCCCTCAGCTCTCAAAATGTTCGAAAAAATTGAAAGTGGCTTTAGGAAAAACTGAATCGGCCATTTTGTTCAGTTTTCGACGCTGATTACAGTCATGCAGTTTTTCCTCGAAAATTCTTTACGATGAAAAATCCACGTATCCAGACTTATCCTATTAATTACTATTAACGAAGTCTATTAGTTCGTACTTTGCTCTTGAGATGTGTGGCGGGCAAAACTGGCAGTCGGCTTCGAAGGGAACAGGGAATATTTTCGAAGGGGATATTTTTTACTGAAATATTAAAAATAATTTGTTGACCCTGCGTAAATGTTATTCATTTCTCTTTTTCTGATTATTTTAGAACGTTCAATATCTGTCGAAGCAGTGGATGGAATAACGAAAAAACGTCAAAGACTAATGGATAAAACTAATGCCTTGATCAATCCAGTTATGAATGGTCTAAATTCACTACCAGAACAAGAAGCAGAAGATTTACACAGTGGGGATCAAGAAGAAGGGCGAATATCAGATGAAAACGTACACGACCAAGAAGATGAAGAAAATCTACAAGACGAAGACTCAACCATCTTACTAAATAAGACAACGACAGCAGCGTCGATCGATCAGCAACGTCGATCGAAACGTCAGTCGTCTGAAAGTGGCGGATCAAGTAGTGCCAATTTAGAATCATCTGATAACGATCAACAGCAATCTAAATCTCTAGCAGCACGTCCATCATCAGCTTTTCATCGAAATCGTTTAAGTCGTTCACCAAAAACTAATAAAACAAATGCAAGGCAACATAATCAAGTAGATAAATATGATAAATCAACAAAAGCGATATTAAATCAATTAAAACGCGTTCGAAAAACTGTTAATTTACTGGTATGCTTTAATCTAATCCACTTTTTCGTAGAATTTTTCTATACATTGTAAGACAACTTACAAGAGGCAGAGAAGCAGTGATGCTTTCAAATAGATTAGTCAAAAATTTACTAGATAATTATGTTTAACAGACTGAAGAGCGGAAAAGGCGACTATGACTTTCATTGTAATTTTTGACCCCAGAACGGGATATATGCAAGTTGTAGAGGAAGACTTCCTCTATCTAGTGGTGTACATATTATCAAATTCTGTTGCGTACCGTGAGAGAAAATTAAAGGTAACCCCTCTTTTTTTAGACTTTTTTAGAAATATTTTTTCTTTTTGAGTTAAATATTGTGCATTATAGAGTAAAGTGTCCTCTACAAAACAAGATCACTTCCAGCTCTCCAAGGCCTTTCGTTGGAGAGATACGAATTTTTTAAAGTTTGTTACTTTAGTTTGAAAAAACCCTAGTTTTTTACTTTCGAAACTTTTTTCTCTTTCGTTCAGTACTTGATAAACTTTTGAAACAGTCACTCTGGTAGAGTAAAGACTTCTTCATAAA